AGTCTATAGAGGGAAAAATTCCCCGTCTATTATTCCAGTTTTGGAGGGAAAAACTTTCCCCGTTCTAGGGAGGGAAAAAACTTTCACGGGCTCTAGGGGGGAAGCCCTTCACACCCTCTATGAGGGAAACTTCACGCTCTATGGAGGGAAGACATTCACACCCTTATATGGGGAAGACATTCAAAGTTTAATAGAGGGAAGCCCTTCAAGTCTATTTTACCCACAGCTCTATGGAGGGAAACTTCCCGCTTATGGGGGGAAGGGAAATTCACAGCTTATAGAGGGAAAAACATTCAAAAGCTTATATTTTCACAGCTCTATGGAGGGAAGACATTCACAGCTCTATATATTCACAGCTCTATATAGGGAAGACATTCACAGCTCTATATTTCACAGTTTATCGGGAAAAAGACTTCACAGCTCAAATGGAGGGAAGAGATTCAAGCTTTATAGAGGGAAAAATTCACAGCTTTTTGGGGGGAAGAAAATTCAAAAGCTCTATGGGGGAAGACATTCACAGCTCATGGAGGGAAGCCCTTCCCACAGCTCTAAGGGGGAAGACTTCCCCAAGTTTCATAGGGGAAGCATTCCAGCTCATTTTTTTCCCCAGCTCATAGAGGGAAGACATTACGGGCTCTATAAAAGGGGAAGACATTCAACTCTAAGGGGGGAAACTTTAAACAGCTCATATTTTTTAACCGCTCATAGAGGGAAGCCTTCCCCGCCTATAGGGGGAAAGGGACTTTCCAGCTCTATGAGGGAAGACATTCACAGTCTATGGAGGGAAAGACATTCACAAAGCTCTATGGGGGAAAGAATTCACCCCAAATGGGGGGGAAGACTTTTCACAGCTCTATTTTGGGGAGAAAATTCCCACTCTATATATTCACAGCTCTATGGAGGGAAGACTTTCACACCCTTTCTATGGAGGGAAGCCCTTCACACTCAAAGAGGGAAGACCATTCCCAGCTCTGGGAGGGAAGAAAATTCACAGCTTTAAAATTTCACAGTCTATGGAGGGAAGCTTCACAGTTTTGGGAGGGAAACATTCACAGCCTATATAGGGAAACTTTCCCCCGCTCTATATTTTCCCAGCCCCTAGGGGGGAAGCCCTTCACGTCTATAGGGGGAAGACATTAAGTTTCTATTTTTCCCAAACCTCTATAGGGGAAGGGACCTTCCAGCTTATATTTAACAGTCTTATGGGGAAGACTTTAAAATTTCAAATAGGGGGGAAGACTTTCCCACAGCTTATGGAGGAAAAACTTCCACTCTATGGGGGGAAGACTTTCACAGTCTATAGGGGGAAGACATTCCAGCTTATAGAGGAAGACTTTTCACAGCTTTTATAGGGGGAAAGCATTCAAAAGTCTATGGGGGGAAAGACTTTAACGGGTTATAAGGGGGGGACAATTCACAGCTTATAGGGGAAGACATTCCCCGCTTATGGGGGGAAAGCCCTTAACGCTAAAAGGGGGAAGCCCTTCAAGCGTTTGGGGGAAGACTTCCCCAAGTTAGGAGGGAAGACATTCACAGCTTTTTAAGGGGGAAAGACATTCACAGCTCAAATAAAAGGGAAGACTTTTCCAAGCTCTTGGAGGGAAGACATCAAGCTCATATAGGGAAGCCTTTCACAGCTCTATATTTTCCCAAGCTCTAAAAGGGGAAAAACATTAATCCAAATTGGGGAAAGCCCTTCACAGCTTATATTTCCCCAACTCTATGGGGGGAAACCTTCCCGCCTCTATATAGGGAAGAAATTCACAGCTTTTATTTTTAAACCTCATAGGGGAAGTTTCACAGTCTATATAGGGGGGCCATTCACAGCCCCATATGGGAAAGACTTCACGGGCTATAAAATTCCCAACGCCAAGAGGGAAGAAAATTTCACACTTTATGGGGAAAGACTTAAACAGTTAATATAGGGAAGAAAATTCACACTCTATAGAGGGAAGACTTTTAAAATTTGGGGGGAAGAACTTTCACAGTTATAGAGGGAAAAATTTCAAAGCTCTATGGGGGAAGAATTCACAGCTCTTATAGGGAAAGCCCTTTCACAGCTCTATGAGGGAAGACTTTCAAGCTCTATGGGGGGAAAGACATTCACGCTTAAAAGGGGGGAAAGACATTCACAGTTTCTATGGGGGGAAGACATTCACTGCTCTAGAGGGAAGGGACATTCAAGCTCTAATTTCCGCTCTTATGGGAAAAATTTCACAGCTTTTATATAGGGAAGCCCTTTCACGTTTCATAGGGGGAAGCATTCACCTCATAGGGGGAAACATTCACAGCTTTATTTAAAGCTCTAGGAGGAAAAAATTCACAGCTCTATGGAGGGAAAAAATTTACGCTCTAATGGGGAAAGGGACATCACAAGCTTATAGAGGGAAAAACATTCACAGCTCTAATTTCACGCCTAGGGAGGGAAAAATTCCCCGCTTCTGGAGGGAAGACTCAAAACCCTTTATAGGGGAAGACTTCACAGCTCATAATTCACACCCATATAGGGGACGCCATTCACACTTAGAGGGAAGCTTCCCCGCCTTAGAGGGAAGACATTCCAGTTTATATAGGGAAACATTCCCCGCTCAAAGAGGGAAGAATTCACAGCCTAAAAAATTCCCAACGCTCTAGGGGGGAACCAATTACGCTCTATGGGGGGAAAACATTCCCCGCTCATAGAGGGAAAGCCCTTCACAGCTTATGGGGGGGAAAGACTTTTTCCCGCTCTATTGGGAAGCCATTCACACTCATTTTGGGAAAAATTTTTCCGCTTAGGGGGAAAGACTTCACAGCTCTATGGGGGGGGGCCATTCAAAAGCTCTATATAGGGAAGAATTCACAGCTCTATAGGGGGAAGCTTCACACCCCTTTAGGGGGGGCAGACTTTCCCCAATTTATAGAGGGAAGACATTCACAGCTCTATATATTCACAGCTCTATAGAGGGAAACATTAACGCTCTAAAATTTTCCCAAAAGCTCTATGGGGGGAAAGACATTCACCCTCTATATTTTTCACAGCTCTATAGGGGGAAGACATTCACAGCTCAATAGAGGGAAACATTCCAGTTTCTATGGGGGAAACCCTCAACCAATCTAAATTCACAGCTCTATGGAGGGAAGACTTCCAGCTCTAAGAAAAAAGGGAAAATTAAACACCCCTATAGAGGGAAAGACACCCAAAAAGCTCTTAGGGGAAACATTCACAGCTCTATATATTCACAGCTCTATAGAGGGAAGACATCCAACCGCTCGATATATTCACAGCTCTATAGAGGGAAGACATCACAGCTCTATAGAGGGAAGACATTCACAGCTCTATATAGGGAAGACATTCACAGCTCTATAGAGGGAAGACATTCACAGCTCTATAGAGGGAAGACATTCACAGCTCTATATATTCACAGCTCTATAGAGGGAAGACATTCACAGCTCTATGGATCGGCTGAAGAAAGAAGACACACAAAACAATCTCAAGTCAAAGCAATGAGCAAACAAGAAATAAACACTTTAAACTAAAAGAAAAGAACACTGACACTCACTAACATATTTTACAGAACCACAATAAAACAACTCTGTCAATAATACAGAGCTCTAACGGTGATTGGTGAAGGCTGCTGGGATTGTTATAACAGTGTCCTGTGTGAGGATCCAAGGGCTCAGATCAGCTTGGCAAATGGCTGACAACAACCAGACCCTTTCTCATCCACAGAAGAGGGGAGGGGGGGCACTGGGCCTGTTTGACACCTCACACCTTGGTCGTACATTTTAAGCAGGAGAGGATTTTTAAAGTTTTCTAATGAGATCATTGTTTTTCATATAAGCTTTGGCACAGTAATTAGCCACGCCCCGAGGGAGCTCAGAGAGCGTGTCAGCGTGACAGAAGGCCGCTTTTACCCAGAGTGTATAAAAGGATAGGTTAAGAATGAACATATCAGACCAGAAAGCATGGAGCGGTGGTCTACACGCTTGAAATGGTTTGGAACTTTGAACCTCAGCCCGAGGTGAAGAAGACTGCAGCTGTGCCTGTAAAGAGGTTCAAACTCTTGACTCTCCACACAAGCTAAGTTGCTGTTTCTGAAGAAACTCACCACTGGTGACCGGACAACTAAGAAGAAAGACATTGTGACCAATCAAAGCCTTACACCCACAGGACCACCAGCCAAACCCTTTTCAAGAAGGCTTGGTCCGACAGAGATAAACGATGAATGAAGGCCTTCAAACACGTAAATACATTCATGATTTCTTACTCCAAACGGGCGGTGGTTTGTGTGCAAAGCAAATTATTACTGTGAGCGTAGTTTCCAAATGTACAATAAGTGTTGTGTCTCTCTCTCTCCCTCTCTCTACCCCTCCCTCTTTTGGTAACCAAGCAGTCATGTTGTTGTTAGTCCGCTAGGGACTTTTTCCTCATTTATTAGTTAGTTAGTAAATAAATAATTAAGCCAATTTGTGTAGTGTTGAATCATAAGTAAAGCTGGGGTTCTTGCAGATCCAAGAAGTCTACGACCGTTCAGAATGACGACTGATAAGAGGTAATGATTAATATGTTGACTGTTTTATACATAGTGATAGGTAAAGACCTTTTTAGAGTTTAATTTGGGAGATGGTAACTCTATAAACAACTAATTCCGTGGTGCACCAAATCCTAATGAGTTAACTGTTACAAGATTAATTTAGTCGAGTAACAATTAAACATAGTTAGTTGATTTCAATAAATAACAGTCATCAGATTAATGAAAGTCACGTCACGACAACAGTGATAGGTGCTGTACTGTAGACGCCATAGTTGAGCCTCATGATAACCCTGTCCTGCTGGCTCTGCTGCCAATACATGGAGATGATATTGTCTTTTGATTGATGTTTGACTGATGTTTCTATATATTGATTTGGAGTGTAATTCCTCTGCCCATTCCCGAGCTGTAGTAATCCTCTGGAGATACAGGTATGACCCAGAGTCAGACGTCCGTCTCCAACCTCCTCAGCCAGTTGTTTACCTTTTTCTTGGCCTGTAGCAGCTCCTGGTAGGCATTGGAGCGGAGGAAGCGGCTGTAGGAATCACTCTTCATCAGCTTGTAGATGTGCTCCTGAAACAGAGAAGGTACATTCCAACCTAACTGTGTACCAACCCAGCCATAACCCCACATCTATTATCTGACTCCATAGAAGCAACGTTTACACCTTGATCTGATCAATATGATCCAATCCCTATGGGGCCGATTCAGACTTAGGAATTTACGCCTTTCCTACATATGCCTTTCCTACGCACTTCTCAGTATTTGGTATTCAGACTTAACTTATTCAGTTGCGTAACGCGCTCTGCAGGTGTGGCTTCCTTGCTGGCTCTGAATACATTTCATTCAACTGTTGAAAACCCTCCTACTTGCTGGCCAAATGATTTTCTCGTGGAGTTTTCATTCAATAGGGTTTTCAGAACATTTATCTTACGCCATCCCTTTAAATATGATTTACCTTTTAGTTCGAATTTTGTCAATTGAATATATGGACAGAATGGTTCACAATATTAGGGATCAACGAAAGAAAGCCACTTAAATATTAATCTCCATTTCAACACCAATTGGTAGATTTAAAAAATACTCTGATCTTGTAGATTTTTTACATTTAGGAAAGTATTTATGAATCATAAACAACTGGTTTGGAGAGCCTTTACGCACTAAAGAAAGAAAACGGTGGGTTTGATTCTTTCTGAAAATAGCCACATTCAGTTCATCAACCCACGGTGCTGTTGGAAGATTAGTTTACATGGAGTTATAATAGGGAGAATAGTGTCCAATAGTAGGCTACTCCCTCGTCTGTTGGCTGCACTAACCATGGAACTGTGTGACAACACGGCCAAGTACTGCGCCATGCGTCGGGTTCAAACTGTTAGGGCCTTGTCTGCTCTCCGCTCCGTAACCATTTAATTAGCCCACATGTCTTTTATTATCAGGGGTTACTAATGATCCTCAGCAACAACCACACGGCCGTGACGACGTTTACCGCGGAAGCAAATGAAGGTAAACGAAACAATGTAATGAAATGGAATGATAATGTAGACTATACCAACTGAAGGGAACTAACAGTAAACTGGCAGTTAATATGTGTTGTTATTAGGCCTACTGACGGGCCATACTGATATTTATCATGATAGAAATAGGAAACAGAAAATGTTGGGGTAGCCTATAATTAAGACATTTGACAGTATCCCTGCCAGTTAAAAGGCTGTACAATTTAAATTCTACTTAATGGCACAGCGTTTCATAAACTTCACTGTGGGAAAGTTGATATGCTTCAGTTTTCTGCAATATGGTTGGTTTCACATTTGTCTCCAGCGATTATGAGGTAAAATAGATCTAAAACAAGTGTCATATTTACAATTCCCTTATTTTCTATTGGAAAAAATTAAGTACAGCGCATTCGGAAAGTATTCAGACACATCACTTTTTCCACATCTTGTTACGTTACAGCCTTATTCTAAAATTGATTAAATCGTTTTTTCCCCCTCATCAATCTACACACAATACCCCATAATGACAAAGCAAAAACTGGTTTTTAGAAATGTTAGTAAATAAAAAACGGAAATATAACATTTACATAAGTTAATGCACCTTTGGCAGCGATTACAGCCTTGAGTCTTCTTGAGTCTTCTTGGGTATGACGCTACAAGCTTGGCACACCTGTATTTGGGGAGTTTCTCCCATTCTTCTCTGCAGATCCTCTCAAGCTCTGTCAAGTTGGATGGGGAGCGTCGCTGCACAGCTATTTTCAGGTCTCTCCAGAGATGTTCGATCGGGTTCAAGTCCGGGCTCTGGCTGGGCCACTCAAGGACATTGAGACGTGTCCCGAAGCCACTCCTGCGTTGTCTTGGCTGTGTGCTTAGGGTCGTTGTCCTGTTGGAAGGTGAACCTTCGCCCCAGTCTGAGGTCCTGAGCGCTATGGAGTAGGTTTTCATCAAGGATCTCTCTGTACTTTGCTCCGTTCATCTTTCCCTCGATCCTGACTAGTCTCCCAGTCCCTGCCGCTGAAAAACATCCCCACAGCATGATGCTGCCACCACCATGCTTCACCGTAGGGATGGTGCCAGGTTTCCTCCAGACGTGACGCTTGGCATTCAGGCCAAAGAGTTCAATCTTGGTTTCATCAGATCAGAGAATCTTGTTTCTCATGGTCAGAGTCTTTAGGTGCCTTTTGGCAAACTCCAAGTAGGCTGTCATGTGCCTTTTACTGAGGAGTGGCTTCCGTCTGGCCACTCTACCATAAAGGCCTGAGTGTGGAGTGCTGCAGAGATGGTTGTCCTTCTGGAAGGTTCTCCCATCTTCACAGAGAAACTCTGGAGCTCTGTCAGAGTGACCATCGGGTTCTTGGTCACCTCCCTGACCAAGGCCCTTCTCCCTCGATTGCTCAGTTTGGCCGGGCAGCCAGCTCTAGGAAGAGTCTTGGTAGTTCCAAACTTCTTCCGTTTAAGAATGATGGAGGCCAGTGTGTTCTTGAGGACCTTCAATGCTGCAGAAATGTTTTGGTACCCTTCCCCAGATCTGTGCCTCGGCACAATCCTTTCTCTGAGCTCTACGGACAATTCCTTCGAACTCATGGCTTGGTTTTTGCTCTGACATGCATTGTCAACTATGGGACCTTATATAGACAGGTGTATGCCTTTCCAAATCATGTCCAATCAATTGAATTGACCACAGGTGGACTCCAATCAAGTTGTAGAAACATCTCAAGGATGATCAATGGAAACAGGATGCACCTGAGCTCAATTTCGAGTCTCATAGCAAAGGGTCTGAATACATTTACATTTTACATTTAAGTCATTTAGCAGACGCTCTTATCCAGAGCGACTTACAAATTTGGTGCATTCAACTTATGATAGCTAGTGGGACAACCTCCCAATATTTTTAAAAATATATATTTTATTTTTTTTGAAGTCTTTTTTGAAGTATTTTTTTCATTTAATGGGGGGGTGGGGCAGGGGGGGGTAGAATGATTACTGTTATACTATTCCAGGTATTCCTTAAAGAGGTATTTACATAAGGAATACTTATGTAAATAAGGTATTTCTGTTTTTTATTTGTAATAAATTTGCTTTGTCATTATGGGGTATTGTGTATAGATTGATGAGGACAATTTTTGATTTAATCCATTTTAGAATAAGGCTGTAACGTAACAAAATGTGGAAAAAGTGAAGGGGTCTGAATACTTTCCGAATGCACTGTATATGCTTTTTCCATTTGGAACCGCCAGATATTCTTTCAAAATAACATTTATGTATTTATTTTAAGGCACTCATTGATGCCATAAGTAAATGTTTACACTTGATTGATATCCAGATACAATGGGTCCCTGATTACCTTCAGAGGTGGACAGGAGGATCTGATCACAATCATATTACAATGTATTTTTAATCGTCTGCACCTGTCTAAAAATGTGGGCAAAATCAGAATGTGGACAAGATCAGAACAAAGGAGGCATGTTAGCACCAGGTATAAACGGGGCTAGAGAGTCACAAATAAGTCATTAACAGAACATTAGTTCCTATTCAGCTGCACCATTCTACTCTCCCCCCAGCCAAAACACTACATTCTGACTCCTCACAGACACACTACAGACCTGTGCGTCCTCGAAGGCATATCGTCCGGGGTCCTTGACATTCTGTGTGGTCTTGGCGTAGCTCTTGGAGTCAACGTTAATGGCACTGGGGGCCCCTGGGGCCAAGAACTCCTGCCAGATCTCCTGGACCCTAGTAGGGACCTCCCGGATCGGCCTCTTCTTCACCTCCTGAACCGCCAGCCAGAACCTGGACCACAGACAGATAAAAGGATGTTAAACACATCAACAGAACCTGGACCACAGACAGATAAAAGGAAGGTTTACACATTCACTGGAAGTGAAAAGTGAAATCGTGTAGTTACAGGTGACTTATTCCATATAATAACATCAAGTAGAAAGGAATGATAATTAAACAGGGTCATGTTCAGGATACAAGTAGGGATAGAATGTATGTGGAAGGGTAGCTTGTGTATTGACATGGTTCCTTCAGTCACTGTTGTTTTGTGATGAACAAATGAAACCAAGGGCTAGATTCTCTCAGATCCGTGCATAGCGGTTGTTTTGGTGGTGACGGAGGAACAACCGAGTTAGAGCTGTCAAATCCACAAGCGGCTCCCGGCGTTATACAGTGGGGAAAAAAAGTATTTAGTCAGCCACCAATTGTGCAAGTTCTCCCACTTAAAAAGATGAGAGAGGCCTGTAATTTTCATCATAGGTACACGTCAACTATGAGAGACAAATTCAGAAAGAAAAATCCAGAAAATCACATTGTAGGATTTTTAATGAATTTATTTGCAAATTATGGTGGAAAATAAGTATTTGGTCACCTACAAACAAGCAAGATTTCTGGCTCTCACAGACCTGTAACTTCTTCTTTAAGAGGCTCCTCTGTCCTCCACTCGTTACCTGTATTAATGGCACCTGTTTGAACTTGTTATCAGTATAAAAGACACCTGTCCACAACCTCAACAGTCACACACTCCAAACTCCACTATGGCCAAGACCAAAGAGCTGTCAAAGGACACCAGAAACAAATTGTAGACCTGCACCAGGCTGGGAAGATTGAATCTGCAATAGGTGAGCAGCTTGGTTGAAGAAATCAACTGTGGGAGGCAATTAAAAAATGGTAGGAAATGGGAAGACATACAGGGAAATGACCGAAAAAACGGTTGGATAAGTCTCCCATCGATCTGGGGGTGCTCCACTCGACAGGCGTCCGGCAACTCCGTGGGTGTAAATCGAATGATCATCAAGAACGTGAATACAACAAAATCCCACCCAGAGACCAACGGACGAGGGTGACCTAGTGAATGAACCGTGCAGAGGAAGAGCGTGGTGACCCCAAAAGGGAAGGTAACAAAAAGCCTACCATCACGCACGTACAAACACAATACAAAAAACACCGCAACAAAAAGGGACCTCCTTGCTTAGCAAGAGTACGTTCGCAACCCTGACTGTAAGGCGCATGTACCTTTCCAAGGGGGGGAGGGCCGCTCTGAATGGTATGCTAGGCGGGTGGGGCGTTTTGCAATGATCCAGAAGGAGGATTGGAGAGAGAGATAGTCATTGGTCACGATGAAACCAGGAATAGTGAACTTTTCTGGTAAAGAGACACAAACTCAAACTCGTACGAAGTTTGTGAGGAGACCAGATAATTTCTGAGAGTGTGCGTGCAAAGAACACCTCAACGCTACATGGTGAAGCTTGGGGTGGGTGGGGTGGAAAACATCATGCTTTAGGGAGTGCTGTTTTTTCGTGCAAATGTGGACCGGGTGGAAGAAAAAAGGAGCGGAAGGGAGGAAAGAAACGGTGATCCTTTAAGGTAAGGCGAACGATGAAATAGGAGTGGTCCGGATGGGTTATCGATAGAAGATTTTGAGTAACACGCTCCTTGCCTCAGCAAGGGCCTATGAGATGAAACGTGGCTGGGTCTTGTCCATCTTTCATCATGACACGGGCTCCCAAACACAACCAGCCCGGAAAAGGGGCACACGGGAACTAATGGAGTGGCTTCGTAAAAGGACAGTGAGTCGGAAGGGAAAGGTCCTGGAGGAGTGTTGCTCATCGCCATGGTCTCCAGATCTCACCACCCCATATAAATCCGTGGTGGTAGAGGGAGTTGTACAGTGGGCCGTGGGTGTGCCAACATACGCACGCACGCCCCAAAACATCGACTGCGTCAATAGAGAGATCTAGACATGGAGGTGGAATGGGCCCGAAATATAAAAGAGCCGAGCAACATGGTGTAGAACCATTTTAGGGGAGCGTCAAACGTTTTTGCGCGTTGTCCATTGCGCAAAACAAGGTATACTACAAACTTATGTTGAAAACTTTTGTTTATTGAACCAAATACTTATTTTCCACCCATAATTATTGGGCAATAATTTCTTATAAACAACATACAATACTGATACGAGTTTCTGGAGAAAAAAATTACTCAAAATTTTGGTCTGTCATAGTTGGACGTGTAACCGTATGTTAAAGTGTACAGCAAGGCCATCTGCTCAAAACTCTTTTTAAGTTGGGAGAGACATGCCCCGTTGTTGGGCTGACTAAATACGGATTTTTTTCCCACACAGTAACCTAAATCGGAAAAGGGGGGGGGGACAAAATTTAACAATTGGCTGACATGGAGTCGGCTTAAGAGCAAAAGGCCCAGCCGTTGTATCAAACGACAGTTTGACAAAGACGACTGGAAGTGTGAGACTTTACTACATTGGTTTGACTGATAATAGTCGCTAAACAGAGGTAGAAGTTGGCAAGTCGAAGTAGCATTAATAGAGATAGAAAGTATTCGGAGAGTTAGCAGAGTAGAAAAGTAGAGTAGAGTAGAGATATACATAATTAGCAGCTAGAGAGGCGATGCATAGTCAGAGTAAGTAACGGAGAGTATGGTAGGTAGAGGGTAATTACAGAGTAGAGTGGAAGTAGGGGGGGTAGGTAGAGATAGACGATAACGAGTAGAGTATAGCAGAGCAGTTGGTAGAGTAGGGCTGTAGAGCAGAGACAGTGTTCTGAGTGATTAAAGTTTACGAGTATGTAGATTAGAGTAAGTAGAGTCATAAATAAAGAGTAGCATATAGAATGAAGAGTACGGGAGGATAGAGTGAGTAGTAGGGAGCAGAAGCCGAGAGCCAGGCGTAAGAGTAAGTGAGAGGCATGATAGAGTATAGGTCATACTATAAAACGGAAGTGAAAAGGGAGCAGAGCAGCAGTTGTAGAATTAAGTAGAGTAGAGTCGAGTGAGTAGGAGTAGAGTAGAGTACTATTGCGACAATGGTAGAGCAGAGTAGAGTATATGTTCAAAGGAGTCGGATATGCAGAGTGAGAGTGAGAAGTAATATTCAACAGAAGTAGGTCAGAGTATTTCGGAGGCTACAGAGCAGAGTAGAGTTCATCGAGTAAGCAATTAAATAGAGAGAGTAGGGGCGGAGAGTAGAGCAGAAAAGCAGAGTAGAGTACTAGAGTAGAGTAGGCTAGATTATGTCGAGTAACTACTGTAAGAGTACTAGAGTGGCAACAGTGGAGCTACAGGAGAGGAGAAATAGATTCACTAATTAGAGTACCGTACAGTAAGGAGATAGAGTACTGCAGTAAATAAAGTACTAAAAGGACTAGTAAGTACTAGAGGTAGGAGTATTAAGAGTCATGAGGTAACTACGAGTAGAGTAGCGTAAGAGTACCTACATGTAACCAGTCACTTTAGAGTAGAGTAAGCTAAGCGTAGGGTAGAATGTAGAGTACATAGACTTAACGAGTATTTAGAGTAGAGGGTGACAGTAAAACAAAGGAAAAGATAAGGTAATGTAGGATTCCTGTATACGATTACAAAGTATCAGTAAGTACGGTAAGTACGTGTACTAGTAAGAATAGGAGGTACAGTACAGTAAGACACATACCTGAGGTTCTCTGGAGGGCTGAACTCTGACTCCCGAGACTAATCAGACTGTTCTCTCCCCACAGGGGTCCTATCTAACAACACCAATCTGTTAATAATGCGAACCCCAAAAAATGGCACCGCCATCCTCTTACCGTCTCTGCTGCCTGGCTCCTTACATAGAGAAATGATCAGAGACATAGAACGAGGAGAAGGGGAAGAGAGAGAGAGATAGAAGCTAGAGAATATCATAATATGAGCCGGAAGAGATGAGAGATAGCTAGACTATACGATATAATAGAGATATAGGGAGAGAGGAAGAATAAAACATAAAAATGACGCGAGTATAGCTCGCGATATGATACGCCAGAGTAATAGAGAGGATGTATCTCGCTAATCTAGAGCTAGACGAGATATGATAATCGCGACTAGATGATCTAAACAATAGAGCATCTATGAGAGATAGGCTATAGCTAGAGATGACAATGATAGTAGTGAGATGACCCAGAGAGACACAAAGAGAGTACAAACCAGAGATGGACGAATCGACCGATAGAGACCTAGATACGAGCGATCTCACACATAAGAAGCTATAGAGGAACATAGCGGAGATGTATGAGATAAGATATACGAGAGACACGATGATATTATACGAGATAGAGATAGAGTACTAGAGACACCCATGCGACACGAGGGATAGAGAGATGGCAGAAACCACCGGGGAGTAGTAGTAATAATAGAGGAGATAGACACAGAGGATTAAAAAAGCGGGCACAGGGGGGAGAATATATAGATGGATATCGGGTAGAAGATAAATAAATGATGATATGAGTGTAGGATGCGATAACAGAAGAACATCTGAGCAAGCACATAGGAATAATAAGATATATAGGCACTGAAAATACAAAAATAAGACGGGGGCGGTATCTCGAACTATGCTATAAGACGGATCTATAGCAAATTCTCTATATGCTCTGTAAGGCTATGCGTCCAGAGGATGAGCGATATCGAAGATAAACCAAGAGGGATGCATAGATAAAATGACAAAGGGAAACAAAGAGAGAGGGGAGAAAAGGGAGACGCGAACATAAGACTAAAAAAAATATATGATATCTACAGCATATATAGCAAAAAGCGGGACGCAAAAATATGATATAATATGATATACAAATACAACACAGGTGGGGCTAGCCTCATATAATCATCTCTATGATATTACGAGCGGGGAACAAACAACATATATACTAAGCATATATGAGATGAGATTAGGATATGAACACAAAGATAGATGGACAACAATATGTGATATATATTAATGTACATATATCACATACTAGGCAAACACCTAAATAAGAGACGATAAAAGGCA